CTGACATTTGTATAGGCGTGCAAGTATAAGAATTTGTAGAAGAAGAAAAGATTGAAGAAGAAAATTGGAGAAGAAATACGGGGAGAGAGAAGAAAAAAAAACGGGAAGAGAGAATAAATAAGAAATTAGGGTTATTTAGGATTTGGCTATACAATGCCAATTTTTTTGGGTTACCTTTGCCAAACCTAATATAAGGCTAAAATATTGCCAATTCTCTTTATATATTGTCATACCATGCCATTTTTTCTTCTATGTTACCGAGACGCTCTTCGTTTTCTATTAGGGAAATTTTTCATAAATACACCATTATTTGCAGTATCAGCCTAACTAAGCAAAAGAAAAGTAAAATGATTAATGATTATCTATAAACTACTCCACTCAGCAATTCCGATTGTAATTCCATAGATATGAGTCTGTTGTGCATACTTGCGATTCACGTTATTGAATTTTATGAGTTGAACTGAAGTACTAAAAAGTAAGTTACAGAAACATGCAATTCCTACTGATGACTCCTTCTGCATTAATAAATAATTGTAGAATTCTGCAATCTGCTAATTTTGCCAAGTGATATCTACTTTTGAATTGAAGGAAAAAAGATTCAAGGAAAAAGAGTTCTTAAATTGCCCTGTTGACAAGTAGAAATTAAAATGCGGTGCATTTAAAAGAGAGGGGGTACGTAACTCTTATGAAATGCATACATAAAAAGGATCTGCCTCTTTTTGCGCCTACGGATTGTGATAGTAATAGGGTTGAGAAGAGCATACATGAGTGCGTTGGCATTGTTAAAGGAGTAAAAAGACGGGTCGGTAAAAATTTATCTTGAAATTTATAACAAACTTCTTTTTCACTTCATTATGATTTAGTGGCATATATTTTTACATTAACAGAGAACTATTGAATACAGTACATATATACCACAAAAGTCACTAGAAAACTTCATTATGGACTTATGGTTAAGTGGCATATATTTTTACCATTAAATTAAACTTAATGAATGCACTACATATTTACCACGTAAAGTCCGTAGACAACACGGGCCGAGAAATTGAGGAAGAAGGAAACATGCAGGCAAACCTCAAAATCTTAATCAGATTCGTGAACATGTACCCATTTAATACAACAATAAATGGGAAAAATGCATTCAATTTGTGTAGAGTGAGAAAGGAGAGAAAGAGACAGAGAGAAAGAGATGGAGCCCTGACCCAATCTGTCGGTCCTCCTCCTCGGTTTCTTCGCTTATGCAAAAAGGACGCGCCAAACGAGGGTCCGCTTTCTGCTCTCCTTTGTGTTTTCTTTACAGCTTGTTTGGATGGTTGCTGACAATCGTTTTATAATGTGTTATATTGTATTTTATCGTTTTATATATATAATATTTGGATCGATTGTATTCCTTACTATTGTTAAATAACATTTCGTTATTTAGTTTAATTGTATCGTACTGTACTATAACTGATAAATTACTAAAATATTCTCAATTATTTAAATATTAAATTTATCAAGAATTACGCATAAAAATAATTTAAGAAAACCCATTTCTACTAATTTATCTATGTCTTATAAATAGGTTAAGCAATTAAATTCATGCAAATTCTAACAAAATTTGTGAAATAAAATAAGCAATTTTACATTGAAGTTGGAAGCGACAGAAGTTCTGAAAAAAAAGGACGAAGACAAAGTAAATTATAGGTAGGAGATTTAAAAGTAAAATAAAAAAAGGTAAAGGATAAAATAGAGTTACGGAGTAATAAGTTAGGGCATAATTGGAAAAAAAAAATAGGAAACAATCCCACCACACCAAATCGGTTGTTTAAAATAATGGAACTTTTCATTGTTCCGGAACAATAGATATAACAATACAATACAACTATTTTTAATGAAACAATCAAAACAAACATTATTTTGAGATAACAATACAATACGATACAATCAGTAACAACCATCCAAACAAGCTGTTAGTCAAATATATAGTTTCCTTTTCATTTTCTCTTGGAGTCATTTTAATTCAAAAGCTTATGCCTTGGAGAATTCAAGATTCTATTCCCTCCGACCCATTTTAGGTGATATTTGCCTCTTTTCACACATATTAAACTATTCACCTTTTAACATTAATTAATAATAAAATTAACTATATTAATTTTAATTTGCTCATTAAAAATATAACAAATTACTCCTAGACTCTTTACTTCAAGAGCAACTTTAAAAGAAAAAATTAATTTTTTTTTCTAAAAAAATTAAATATCGTGAACCACAAAAGAAAGGTAATAAAATCACATAAAATGAACCGGAGAGAGTACCTAGTTGCGTTGGCCTTGAAGCACTTCTCCACACTCTAATACTCCTATTTGTAACACGAGTTTTAATATAAAGATGTCTGTGATCCAAAATTTCCTTTCTACCTTCTCAGAGTAGAGATAAAGTCGGTGTATAACATTACCCTCCTTAGACCCACTTGTTCAATTATACTGTATTTATTATTATTATTATTATTATTATTATTATTATTATTATTATTATTATTATTATTATTATTATTATTATTGCTAGGCATCGTATGGTAGGATGCATTAGAGAAAATAATGCATGCATTAGCTTTTGATATAACTAATCCATTGTTTGGTACATTTTTTCAACCTATATATTACTAATGCAAGTATTAGCTATACAACCAATATTTGGTATTATCCTATGTGTAACTAATATATTACTCCCTCCAGTCCAAAATAAGTGATTTTTAGCGGGTTTCACACAGATTAAGAAATCCACCTTTTAACATTTATTAACAATGAAATTGACCATATTAACCTTTACTATCTCTTCACATAAACTCTTCTAGCACATACTCCAACACTATTTACTCCAAGGGCGATGTAGGAAAAAATAATTAATTCATTCTTGAAATCTAAAAAAATCACTTATTTTGGACCACAAAAAAGGGCAAAAAAATCACTTATTTTGGACCGGAGGGAGTAGCAAACTATGGTATTAGTAATACCAAAGCTATTAATGCATGCATTAGCCACTAATATTTGCATTACTAACACATGCATTACTAATACATGTATTACTAATGCACCTTATTCCGCATTATTGTATGCCCTACCAAACGACCCCTTATTATTATTTATGTATTCTCAATTTTCTTACAAGCCAATATAAGTATATAATATTTGTCTTAATAGATGCAATCGCACTGATATGGGGGTATAAAGTAGGCATACCTTAAACCACCCCTAAACTTGGCTCAGATTATTAGTATCATCCCCAAACTGTGCCCGATCTTAATTACCCCCCTCAACTTGGCCTTTTGAGGGTCATTACCCCCTAGACGCTGATGTGGCAAAAAGCGTGGGTGCACTCGCCTGTCACGTGGATTTTTCCTTTCTATGTGGCATTTTTTGAAAAATAAAATATTTTTTTTACCTTTTTAAAAATATTAGTACTTTTTTAGATAATTTTTTTCGAATAAAATTTATAATAAAACTTGGATATAACTACATTATTTAGGCTAAATATTTTTATTTGGACAAAAATAATAAAATTTTAGTTAATCCTTTTTTGAATTTGACTTGAAAATAAGATTTTATACAATTGAAATAAATAGTCAAGTCATCTAAAAAGTTATAAAAAATACATAGTTGAAATAAATAGTCATTGCCTCAAAAAAAGAAATAAAAAGAGTGTACAATTGCACTCGTAATTTCTTGCAATTGTACACTCTTTTTATTTCTTCTTTTGATGGAATGACTATTTATTTTAATTGTGTATTTTTATCTTTTTAGGTAAATTATGTAAAAAAAAAAATTTAAAGCACTGTAATTTATAGCGCTATAAAAAATTATAGCCAAAATAATTAATTTCAGACTATGTATTTTTTATAACTTTTTAGATGCCTTGACTATTTATTTCAATTGTATAAATCTTTATTTTCAGGTTAAATTAAAAAAAAAGATTAACTAAAACTTTATTATTTTGCCAAATAATATTTAGCCTAAATAATGTAGTTATACCCAAGTTTTATTATAAATTTTATTCAAAAAAAATTATCTAAAAAAGTAATATTCTTAAAAAAAGGTAAAAAAATATTTTATTTTTCAAAAAAATGCCACATAGACAGGAAAAATTCACGTGGCAGACTTGTGCACCCACACTTTTTGCCACATAAGCATTTAGGGGGGTAATGGCCCTCAAAAGATCAAGTTGAGGAGGGTAATTAAGACCGGACATAGTTCAGAGATGATACTAATAATTTGAGCCAAATTTAGGGGTGATTTAAGGTATTTTGCCTATAAACTATGAACCCATGGTCATAAAGGAGAACCAACAACACGACAACTCACAATATACGTCTGAAGTTTAATGTAATTTTTTCTCCATTATCGGGTATCTCAACAACTCAACCACTCTTCTGACTTACTTGTGTGGCCTCATTAATTTCTGCCTGTACCTTTTTTCCCTTTTCTCTCTCTCTCTCTCACTCACCCATCATCGAACAATTTCTGTGTTAGTGTAGTCTCTTAGCTTCCTCTAAACACGAGGTCTTTTAGTTTAGTCTTTGTTGACCAAGCAAAATCAGCTACATATAGCTAGCTAGTTACATGCCTTCTTGGATTCATGTGCTACTTTGATAGAAGAACAGCATTTTAGTGTAGGGTTTAGAGAGGTGACACAATCACTAATCATTTAGTATTCATATTTGTAGCAGTTAAGTATCTATAATTGACTAGCTGCACCGTCCGTTCACTCTGTTAGCATGATTATGATGGTGAAATGATTATAAAATATTAATCAAAATTTGGATTTTTTAGAAGTGAAAATATTTGTAAAAAAAAAAGAAGGGAATTTTTAGAATTCAAAATAAACAAACATTTAGGGAGTAAATGGTTAGGTCATTTAAGAAACCCGAGCTGGTAAGGTCAGACTCTGCCCCTAACTTTTGTCCTTTGTAAAGTTGGCCTCTTCAACTCTATTTTTACCTCTTTGTTATAGTCTCCTCAGAACAAATCATTCTCTTCATCATCACTCACTCACACTCTCTATCCCTTTCATATATTTCTCTCCTATCCCCTCCTTAAAGAAAGGCGAGACTTTTGGGGGATAAGGAACCAAAAGAGATCTTGAGAGAGAAAGAGAGAGTATCACAAACACAACACATCTAATGAGATTATTATCGAAGGAAAAAGGAAGCTTTTCTATTGTGGGGAATGTTGTTTGGCTCGAGGATTCAATTTCTTACTTTCTTTTATAGATCTGTATATATGGATCTATAATATAGGATTATGTCTTTGGTATCGTCGGACCAGGCTTCATTCCCCTCAAAGATTGCTACCGTAATCCTTGCTCACTCGTCAGACATTTTCGCGATCTCAAATATTTTTGTGTATTCAGTGGTAAGTTTCATCTCCTAAGTTTTGTTTTGTTTTGTTTGTTGGCGTTGATTTTCTGAAGCTTTTGTTTGTCCGTTTGTAAATCGATTCTTTTTTTGTTAAGTAGTTATGTGTTGATTGGTGTAATGATGAAGATCTTGACTTTTAGGTTTTGCATTTTTGTTTCAAATCCCAACCTGAAAAACAGTTTCATCATTACAGTCCTTTTTTGGCTATTTTTTTTTGTGTTTCAATAGTCAGTAACGTATGATTGTGGTCATGATTATGGCTTTTTTGGTAGTATCTCTTTCTGTAAACATTCAGATCTGGATTCTGCTTTTCAACTTTCTCCAAAACCCTTTCGCCCTTTTTGATTTTCTCCACAAATACTTGTCTCTCTCTTTCTTAGCAGGATTTTTCACAGATTGGGGTTTATTTTGTCAAGAACGTACCTTTGCTAAAAATCGAGCTTTATTCTTTCTATATATATGAGTTAATACATTCATATTAGGCTGAAAATAATATTTGTATCCATTGCATTTCTGTCCGATATTGCTGCATTGTCCGGCCATTTTGCATCCATAATGTCTTCCTGAAATTAAGAAGAGAGAATTATACATAAGTACAGTTATAAAAGATGTATAGTGTACAGCTTAATTTTTAAGATGCACAGTTTTTGAAGCATGGTTTTATAGTACCTCCAACTATCGTGCGAGTTAATTTTGTTAGTGTAACCTTTTTTTGTTACAAATATATTTGATAAGTCGATACTTGAGTAAAAGAAAACAAAAAGATATTTGAGTAAAAGATTGTCGAATGCACGTTGTGAACTTGAGACATGTCGATATTGGCAGCTAGATGTGATGGATTTCGTTCTAGCTAGTGCTTGAAAACAGTGGCGGAGTCGGGATTTTCAGGAATGAGGTTCAAATTTTCTCTTTTTTGTAACTAGTGGTAATTGAATCTATAATCTTACGAAGATTTTGAACCCCCTGATCACTAAACTACACTTTTGGGTTGTGCTAAGGGGGTTCAAAACTTAATATATAGACGTAAAAAACAGATTTTGCCTTATATATACAGTGTAATATTTTGGCGAGACCCCTAAATCCGCCACTGCTTGAAAATAATATTTCAAAGTTTGTATGTTCTTGTTACTTGTGTGAAGTTCTATATTATAGAGTATATAACTTCAATCATAGAGATCAATTTGGTATATATAGCTCAAAATTAGAACGTGTTTTCCAAAGATCTTTTTCACATAATAAAATTAGGAATACCAGACTTTAATGTGTTCTTATCCAGATATAATTTTCAAATGACTAATAGGCTGAGTTTACTAGAAGATGGAAACAGAAAGGAGTCTTTTGCTGTAACGAGATATAAATAAATGGTACATTTTGAAGATTACTATTGGTTTGAAGTGTCTTGGCTTTTACAAGTAACTTGGAGTTATCACTGATACATATCCAGCATCAATCTAAACGATCTTTTTTGACATTGAATCTCAGTTCATGCATGAAAGGTCAATTCTTTCATAAACACTACTACGATTTAAACAAAAATGACTGGAAAAACAGCATATTGAAGATATTGAGGGTTAGATAGATACACTTCAAAAGAGAAAATGTTGACCTCTTGAAGCTAAATGAGATGTGATGTCTCACACATGTGAATGTAGGTTTTCTGACTTCCTTCCTCTTGCTTATTTAAAATTAAGAAAACCAGACTTTAATATGTTTTTATCAAGATATAATCTTCAAATGACTAATAGGCTGAATTTACCAGAATATGGAAACAGAAAGGAGTCTATTGCTGTAATGAGATATAATTAAATGGTGCATTTTGAAGATTACTTTTGGTTTGAAGTGTCTTGGCTTTTACAAGTAAAATGGAGCTCATTACTGATACATATCCAGCATCAATCTAAACGATCCCTTTTGACATTGAATCTCAGTTCATGTATTAAAGGTCAATTCCTACATAAATACTAGGATTTAAAAAAAAATGACTGGAAAAACAGCATATTAAAGATATTGAGGGTTAGATAGATACACTTCAAAAGAGAAAATGTTGACCTCTTGAAGCTAAATGAGACGTGATGTCTTACACATGTGAATGTAGGTTTTCTGACTTCCTTCCTCTTGCTTATTAGGAAAAAACAGAAGATAAAAACAAAATTGCTTGTTGAGAATTCAATGCTTTTGCCCATTCTATATTTACGGAAAAGTGAAAACACAGAAAAAGAGGAACACACAAACTTTTTTACCTTTTCTCCCCACCATATTTGACACTCACATGTCTCCTGCAAGAGAGAACAATAGACACAGGGGCGGATGTAGCTCGCGACAGGTTTATTCCAATCTAATAATTTCTTATGCAGTATATCTATATTCTAATCTATCAAATTAATAAATCATAAAGTAGACATTGAAGTTTTAAGGGATCAAGCCAAATCCTAAATTAAAGATACTGCAGGACTCTTGAAATCTAGGAGTCTATTAGGGTTTCTTGGAGGTACAGTTACTCTACCCTAAACTTTAAATCACACCTATATAAAGGGATACATATTCCCTTGAAAAGGTGTCTCAAAATTCCATAAACTCAGGTCAAAATATGGCCGTATACTTCTTGACAATCAAATAGTTCAAGAAGCTGGAGATCAAATACATCCCAGGAGGTCTGCATCGTCCTACATTTGAGAAATTTGCAGCTTCAGCCCTCGAATCATGGTGATAATCAGGAGAGAAGAATCAAGGAAGAAACAGAATTGTACTCATAATTGATTAGTAAAAATATTTTCTCTTATTTTGTGATTGCGGTTTATTTTTCCTGTGACAGAAAATTTATTGCAAACACATGGATCCGTTTTTGCATGGATAATGGATACCTTTTGGTCCTGAAAAGTGAAAGCACAACTTGATGATTTCAACCTTTAAGATATTTAAATTACACTCATGGTACTTTTAAAATAATAGGTTGAAAATTTTGTTAGTTTTGAGATTATTAATAATTTTTCCTACAAATAATGTGTTTAATGTTGAGCATCATTGACAAACCTATAGTAGAAGAAAAGTTAGTAAAAAGCTTTTAAAATTATGAGTTCAAAAATAGTTGTCAGATATTAATAATTTTTCTCATGTTTAATTAAATGTTGATAGTTAATGAGAAACGCACAGCAAGAGGGCATTGCCTATCTCTAGTCTTTATCTATATTTCAATTTCATTTTATATACCGAAATAGAAATTACTCAGTTATATCAAGTTTGTGATAGTAGATTCTACTATTCTGTGGATCTGGATTTTTGAAAGAAAGAAAGAATTGGGATCTTTATCACAGTAAAATGGTCATCTTATTCATCTAGTCTGTAAAACTCAACAGGTTGTAAATATAGACCTGTGAAGTCATTTTATAATTTCACCTAGGAAAACTAATAATGGCAGTGTTAATAAATTGTAAGAACAGTGATTGATACGGAATACTGTTTGTGGAGATGGAATCTTTTTGACTTTGCAAATCAATAAAGTGGAGGCTGTACGCTGGCTTTTGCTTTCCTCATTTTCCACAAAAAAAAAAAAAAAAAAAAAAAAAACATACAAAAGTTTGCAGACAAAGGTTTGGTTGTTTTTGATAAATTCTCTGTTAGTCCCCTCAATTAATAAACTAATCTTACTGCCTCGTTGACTATTTCCTTCTATAACTCGTTACTTCAAAATGGTAGATTCTACGATTCAAAGTTTATCATACAAAAGTCATTTTCTTATTTTTTGTCACATAAAAGCCATTCAGCTTTAGTCAAATCAACTACAAAATAAATCTCACCTGAATATTATTATGTAGCACCGATTGAAATATGACATGGAGTGTTTCTGGGAGAGTAAAATTTGATCATCGGATTTTTAGGGGATTTTGGAGGGTTTTCATTCTGTTTTATTGTTTTTGCACGCCGATTGAAAATATCTTTTGAATGCGATTAACGGTTTAACCGAATGTAAATTATTTCTTCATGCTTGGAGAGTTCTGAAAATGTAATGCACTAAACGCCCAAAAGATGCCTTTCTTTATCACCTTTTTAACACACAAAAGGATATGATGAGATAAATGAGATCTTTTAACCCTTAATTAGAGGCTCATAATCCAGCCTTGAAAGGAAAAAGAATTCTGATACGAAATACATTTTGGGAAATTTTCATAAAATGGGCTTTATACGACGCGAACCCAGCATAATCAGAGCCGTTTGATTGTCTAGATTCACCTTGGTCTTCTGATAGGAAATGATTCTTTTCATTTCCCTATACATATAGTAAGACCAAAATCACGTCAATTTTTGTCCTTTTTGTTCTTGTGAATGGTAACGAGTTAAAATAAAAGATCCGAGAAATTCCTTTAACTTTGTGTTTTTAGAAGACCTGAATAAAAACCTTCCTCCAAGGGAAATTGTAAAGCAACATCAGATCACATATCATTAGAAGTAGCAACAAGTAAACAAGAAATGGATAAATCCAAACGAAGAACAATATCTCTTGGTAAATAAAAATGCATGTCATCAGAGTGCAATATGACTTATTTTGCGTGCCCAAACAAGTAAAAAAAAGAAGGAGAAGACGACATAGATTTTTTTTTTTATGGCAAATGAAAATTTTTATTACCAAATTTAATTATGTACGTCTCCATAACACACTCTATTTTACACTTATTCTTTAAGGTCTCAATTTCAGGTTAGCTTAAAAGTGTCAAATTCTCAATCCGCTCACGTAAAACGTTGAGGATGGGTCTGGTCTGCCATCATGGCGAAAACAACAATCTGGCGCCTAGCAATGAGGTGCCCCCACCTGATCCCAACGGGGTCCCGATCGTAGACCCAGTCGATGCTAATTCACATATGGCTATCAATGCCAACCTTCCTATCGATCCCGAAAACAGCGTTCACGAACAAGCCCGGCCAACGACTCAGGGAGATGACGGGCTTAGCAGGCGGCAATAGCACAGCTGCAAAACTAAAGTCGTGCCCCCAGCAGAGTTGAGCCCGAATTGCCTCGGGAAAACACCCGAAGAAATGAGCACCGAAAGACGGGGCGAAGCTGAGTCGGTGTCAGCACTGAAGTGATAAAAATGCTAGAAGCATTAACGAAACGAGTGGAATATGGTGAAAAAAAATTGAGGCAAATGACAAGAAGGTGGAGACATGCAATTCTCGAGTTGATAAAATCCAGGAGCGCCTCCGATATTGAAAGGCCCGGACTCCAAGAAATTTGTCCAAAAGCCTTTCCCTCCTAGCACCAAAACCAATCCCGAAGAGGTTTTGTATGCCCGACATTACAAAACATAACGGAACCACGAATCCAAATGAGCATGTGACTTCTTACACATGCGCTATTAAAGGTAACGACTTGGAAGACGGTGAAATCGAGTCGGTGTTGTTAAAGAAGTTTGGAGACTCTGTCAAAAGGAGCGATGATATGGTACCACTACTTTCTCCCGAATGCCATTGATTCGTTTGCTATGCTCACTGATGCTTTTGTAAAAGCTCGTACCGGCCCCGGCTGAACCGAAGATGCAAGGAGAAGGCGAGGATGATCATTACCGAGTTCCTAGGTCGTTCATTGCCCTTGATGATTCCGATGCCACCAAGTTAATGGTCGAGGAGCTGGAGCAAGTCATATTGATCGAATACTTACCCGATCAGAAGGTATACCTAGGCACGTGGTTAACTCCCGAGCTTAGAAAAAACTCATTGAATTCCTTATAACTAACATAGATTATTTTGTTTAGTCTCATCTTGATATGACCGGGGTCCCGCCAGAGATAACCACTCATAAGCAGAACTTGGATCTGAAGTTTCGCCAGGTAAAACAGAAAAAGAGGCCTCGATCCAAAGTCAAGCATGCATTCATCAAAAACGAGGTATCTAAAATCCTTAAAATAGGTTTCATTCGGAAAGTTAAGTACCCATATTGGTTTAGTGAACGTGGTGGTAATACCTAAAAGGGGAAATAGATTAAGAATGTGTGTGGATTACAAAGACTGGAACAAGACGTGCCCTAAGGACTCTTTTCCTATGCTTAATATCAATTGCATGATCGATGCGACGGCCGGGCATGAGATACTCAACGTTCTCGACGCCTATTCCATGTACAACCAAATCCGGATG